TAAGTCCACATAATTAGAGCTATTACTTCACACACAAATATATCATAAGTCCACATAATTAGAGCAATTATTTCACACACAAATATATCATGAGTCCACATAACTAGAGCTATTATTTCACACACACACAGACATATCATAAGTCTACATAATTAGAGCTATTACTTTACACACAAATATATCATAAGTCCACATAACTAAAGCTATTACTTCACACACAAAGATATCATAAGTCCACATAACTAGAGCTATTACTTCACACACAAATATATCCTAAGTCCACATAACTAGAGCTATTATTTCACATACAGACATACTCAATATTTCAACTCCGAGTTCAGTCCAAATAACATCGCTATCGTTATTATTGAAATTTTCACCTCTCATTTTGAAAACAAACAAACTGGTCTCCTTTTCACAGAATCATTTCACCCCTATATTAAGATTCTTCCTATCAGCGAAGTTCAGATCTCTGCCTCTAAAAAAAAACCCATCGCCCGCCTGTCATGCTCAGATACATCTCACTGTACCAGCCACGTTAATAAAGATCGTTATCTGTCAGACTCAAAACCCTCAGTTAAAAATGTTAAAATTCGCCGCTACTTGTCAGATGCCACTGTTGTTAACAATCGTTACTAAATAACTGTGTCTAAAATATCAGGTTGTTTGGAATTGTTGTTGTTCTAGTAGATTTACTCTTTTTAATATAACATTAGTTTTATTAAACGTCATCTCCCGTTAGTTTCAGATCACTAGGACATTAGTTTTATTAAGCGTCATCTTCCGTTAGTTTCAGATCACTAGGACATTAGTTTTTATTAAGCGACATCTTCCGTTAGTTTCAGATCACTAGGACATTAGTTTTATTAAATGTCATCATTCGTTAGTTTCAGATCAGTAGGACATTAGTTTTTATTAAGCGTCACCTTCCATTAGTTTCAGATCAGTAGGACATTAGTTTTATTAAGCGTCATCTTCCGTTAGTTTCAGATCACTAGGACATTAGTTTTATTAAGCGTCATCTTCCGTTAGTTTCAGATCAATAGGACATTAGTTTTCATTATGCGTCATCTTCCGTTAGTTTCGATCTGAAACTAACGGAAGATGACGCTTAATAAAACTAATGTCCTATTGATCTGAAACTAACGGAAGATGACGCTTAATAAAAACTAATGTCCTATTGATCTATGGACGTAAGTAACAAGACAGAACCAAGCCAGTTCATTCTATATTTTCCAGTATGGGGGGTTTTCTCTCACGAGTGCTTCAGTGACCATCAAATCGAAGAACTAGGCAAGGTGGATCCTCACGGTTACTAGCGGGAAGAATGTTTTGTCTAACGATGTCGTATGTAACTGTCGGTTTATTGTATATCGTAAATTTTCGTAAATCTGTCTTGTGAATATAAACTGCAAGCGTAGAAATAAAGAACCGTTTCTACTATATTTAGCGAAATAATGAGAGAAGTTCGTAAAAATAGATAGCCTGGCGTGGCCTTGTGATTAGAGCGCTCCGAGGGTCAGGAGTTCTAATCCCCGTCCTATTCGGTTGCCGAACGGGTCAGCCACCCGGGTGTGAAAATTCTTGGCTTACAAGATCGGCCCAACCCCAAACTAGTTGGGATTAAGGTCATCAAAGAAAAAAAATCTCGTAGAAATAAATACATGTTTTCACTTCATTAGTGAAATAGGAACAGCATTAATTAAAACAGGGAGAAACGTTTCGTCTTTACAAAGTGAAATAGGAACAGCATTAATTAAAAACAGGGAGAAGCGTTTCGTCTTTATAAAGTGAAATAGGAACAGCATTAACTAAAAACATGGAGAAACGTTTCGTCTTTACAAAGTGAAATAGGAACAGCATTAATTAAAAACATGGAGAAACGTTTCGTCTTTACAAAGTGAAATAGGAACAGCATTAATTAAAAACAGGGAGAAACGTTTCGTCTTTACAAAGTGAAATAGGAACAGCATTAATTAAAAACATGGAGAAACGTTTCGTCTTTACAAAGTGAAATAGGAACAGCATTTTACATATCATTATTTTTTTCGGAGCTCGTGCTATTTCTAACGTAACTTACCTCTCATCACAATTACAATGACTTATTGTGTGAAGCCGATAATTAAAGAAGTTATACTTTCTGCTGAAACCCTCGATTGTGTTTGGACAATGGTCATGATCCCGACAGCAGCGGTCAGCTGCAGTGTTATAGCCAAGTTCTCTGGAATTGCGAGCGGAGTTGCCACGGCCGCACCAGTTAGTCCCGGGGAAGAGAAAAATGTCCCGGCGGACACGGGCCAGGAACTCGGCATGCGATCGTTGGTCCTTCTGGCGAAAGGCCTGTTTGATCCGTCTATGAAGTTGCCGGCAGTTCTCTTTCAGCTCTCTGTAATTGAGTAATGCTTGCAGGTCTGCCGGAATATCAGTCTGACTTCTCACTAGCTTCAGCGTTTCGTTGCGTCCTTCTGGTACTTCGCAATCAACGAAACGATGCGACTTCCTCCGAGTGGCGCAAGAGAAATCCGACTTGAATTTCGCTAGAAAGTTCTCCACGCTTTCACTATCCCGCAAGTACTCGCAATCTCGTAGTTCCCAGCCCAGACCGTAAATCAGTTGTATAAACAACTGACCGTTGGTCACTTGACGAAGTACAAGACCCTGCCGGGACCCTGGAACGCTATCCTCGGACGTTGACGGCAAAAACATGCCTATTTCTTGTCCACTCACACGACCAAAATGAAATCTTCTTCCTTGCTCTCCGTCTGACATCACACTGCTCACCACAAAGTCCGGCATTTCGTCTGACCAGTGGTGTTTCCTAGATTCGGTTTCCACTGTGAAAACACAAAGGTATAATAGAATGATAAACTTGTCAACTAGCTCCATATTCTCCTGTAAATAACCGATTCTAACCAGCAACTTTGTCCACTTTTAAGATATGTCTTTATTCGACAGGTATCGCTTCAACGCCATAGGTTATGTTATACTCTCAAAAGTCACCGCGGTTGTTTTTAACTTCACCGCTCCAATACACTTTTTCCGCTAGCTCTGCTTTGCTAGTGCGCCCTCTATCAGTCAGCTCCCACCATCCTAACAAGAAGGGGGCCGTCCGGTGACGGGCCAATCACGAGATTCATACTGTTTTACACACTAAAAGTGAAAATTTCTTGTTATGGCAACGTAGTCTATCGTCTCTTAGTTCTAGAAGTAAAACCTGAAATTGTTTTAAACGGCATCCCAAGCTTCATTGTACTTTGTGGATAGGAATTTCAATTGTAGAACGCGATCTTGACCAATCACAGAATATACTACTTCTCAAATGGTTGACACACGTTCATATCGTAAATACGCGAGGTTTGGGTTCTCGTGCCTAAACAAAAAATGTTCTACGAGATATTTAACGACATTCTCTGATCAACTAGCGAACAAATCAACAACTTAGTTGTTGTTATTAAAAACTGTGATGATATCTATTGGAATAACAACCAACAGAAATTATGTTTTAATAAAACTAATGTCCTACTCTTTAACACTTGTTTTATTGTTCTACCAACTTTAACACTTGTTTTACTGTTCTACCAACTTTAACACTTGTTTTACTGTTCTACCAACTTTAACACTTGTTTTACTGTTCTATCAACTTTAAGACTTATTTTACTGTTCTACCAACTTTAACACTTCTTTTACTGCTGTACCAACTTTAACACTTATTTTACTGTTCTACCAACTTTAACACTTGGTTTACTGTTCTACCAACTTTAACACTTGTTTTACTGTTCTAC